ATACACTTTTGTTTCACAAATTTGTTAACAACCTTACAACAGTTGCCTTTGATTGGTGTGCTGACCTCCCTAATGGATCTATCAAAACTTCCATTGAAGTCAGGAGACCAAAAGAAGTTGATAAGAAAGATAACCCTAATTAGTTTTGACTTGGATTGATTTGAGTTGACTTGGGCCAATTTAGGTTGACTTGGGTAGATTTAGGTTAGCATGGGTTGACCTAAGTCTAACCTAGGTTGAACTAAATTGTCCTAGGATGGGTCAAGTCAGACCTGGTTTGGGTCAACTCAAGCCAAGTATGCGTCATGTTTAGGGTTATGATTTGGTTTTGGCTTGGCTTAGGTCAGCTTAGGCTTGAGATGGGTCAAGTCGAACCTATGTTGAGGGATGTTGAACCTTGGTTGGGTTAGGTCGGACCTGGGTTGCGCCAGATTTAGCATTAGGGTTTGGTTCTGACTTGAGTTAGGTCAGGTCGGGCCTGAGTTAGGTCAAGTCGGACCTGGATTTGGTCAGGTTGAACTTAAACTGGGTCAGGCTGGACTTGAGCTGAGTCAGGTTTAAGTTAGGTCTAGGTTTCAGGATTGGGTTATGTTTGGTTAGATTTTCGGTTTAAGGATTAGGTTAAGTGAGTCAGGGTTAGGCTAAATGGATTAGGATTTAGTTCAGGTTTGGATTAAGTTACGTTCAGGGTTAGGTTAGGTTTAGGGTTATGGTTAGCTTAGGTTTGGGTTAGGTTTGGTTTAGGGTTATGTTAGAATTTTCGGTTAGGTTTGGTTTGAGTCTAAGGGAGTTAGGGTTAGGCTGGGTTTGGGTTGACCTAAATCAAACCCAAACCCAAGCCTAATCCAAGGCTTTTTAGTTGACTAGACTAAAACATAGTTATGAAAGCAAATGCTTGAGTTAAAAGAAAAATGGAGAAAAAACTTGCCAGAAAGGAGGCTGGCTGGAAGAGGAGGCTCATTAGGACTTCTTCCTTCTTCTTTCTTAAAGCAATAAAGATTGCAAAGAGTAGATGTATGCACCTGTGTGCATCCATGAGCTTCTCAAAGAGTGGGCATGTGTGTGTCAGTGTGTCATAAACCGCCTATTTATAGGCTGGCAAGATGGTGGAAAGCCCTCCGTTGTTGTCAAATTATGTGGCGAGTCAATGAACATAATTATTGGAAGAGCCACAAATTGCCACTGGTGAAATGACATGACGAATTCTGCTTGGATCCATTGTCACTCTACATGGAATGTTGACTCCAGATTTGCATGTGTGGTCATGCCTAGGGCTAGCGTGACCATGCCAAGAAGATTTTGGGCATGATTACACCTAGGCTAGGGGTGACCACGCTGAGGTTTTTCTGAGCATGGTCACACACAAGCCTAACATGATCACACTAGGCCAAAAAAAAAGGCATGTGCAATTATGGATAATGTGGCTGCACCTGACCAAAGAATGATATTCATGTAAGTCCTATGTGACCAAAAATAAGGTCAACAAGAGTGAGTCAGAAGGATCTAAGATGTGCTTGGGCAGAGCTTTCAGGAGAGGTAATGGGAGTTGCCCTCCTTTTGATTTTTTGAGTAAGGGGTCTCCAACAACCATTAGAGAGAGTGAGGATTCAATTAGGGGAGCTTGACCAATTGGACTGAGCTTGGCATACTTTGACAGATGTTGCATGGCCTGATTTCCTTTGGTGGGCTTGGGGTGACATGTGAAGCATTGGATGGAACTTATCATGAGCACATGTTTTTTTGGTTGGTCAGTATGTCTCAGGGATTTAGTTTCGCGGTGTGCTTAGGATGGTGTTGTGAAAGAATTAGGATTTAGTTTTAAGCTTAGACTTAACTAATGGGTAGTTTTGGTTACCCAGTGGGACCTGAATTTAGATTATGGGTTAGGTGGGTTTAGACTTAGGTTGTGATGATGGGTTACATGTTTAGTTCATGACATGTTGATCTTAGACTTGGACCTTAGTGGTGAGAATTTAGGCCTAGAATTTAGAATGGACTTTAGATTTTTTTTCTTTTAAGGTTGGTAATTTTAATTTAAATTTTGTTTTGATTTGGCTAATTGATTTTAAATTATGATTAATCTGAATTTTCATAATTATAATGAGTGGTGAGGTGATCAAACCTTGATCATTAACAATTAATTTTGGACTTATGAAAATATTAGTGGTGCAATTTTTTATTCAGTTGACTTAATTTTAATAGATTTTGATTTATTTAATTTTGATTGTACCTTTTTAAATTTTTTATGGAATTTAAGTAATTTTACTAAGATTTTATTTTGTTCATTCAAATGGCATTATTTTTATTCGACTTAGGTAGGATTTGATTATGTTGAATTTTATTAACATTGGTTTTAGTGAATTAATTTTAGTGAACTTAGTTGCAGAAATTTGAGATTGATTCTAATGCTTTTTAATTTTTTTGTGTTCAGATTGATTGAAACTAATTTAACTTTATTGGAATTAGATTTGATAAGTTAATCTTAATGGATTTTAATAATTTCAATGGGTTAAATTTTGTTGAACTTAATTTTAATAGGCTTAATTTTTTGGTGAAATTGATTTTAATAGGTTTATATTTATTGAAATTTATCTTAATTGACTTCTTTTTTTTTTTGAAATTGATCATAATGGATTTAATGGATCCTGAGATTTTAACTTTGAGATTATATTTCAAGTTTTAATTCATGATTTTTTGAAGTTGATATTTAACATTTTAACTTTGATTTTGCTTAATTATAATTTTAATTTGCATTTTGAACTTAATTTATGTTCATTTTCAATTTATCTTTTTTTAAAGGATAAGCCCCACCTTAGCCCAAGGTGAGCCTCATACTCAATATGCTCTTTTATGAACTAAAGAAAGGGTTACCCAACGAGTTGGGAAGGCAAAGTGCAAAGTATCTAAGATACAAGTCTCTAGGATCAATGGGTTGCTTAAGGCATTTCCAATCTTACAGGTGCTCAACTTATGTCTCAATGACTTTGTTTTAATCAGCTCAACCAAACATTAAGAATTTGAAGCCAAGCATATGAAAACCTAAGGAATGAAGAAATGTGGAACTATATTTTGGTTTTGGTTTCACCATTAGACTTCTAGGAGAGGCTTTAAGGAATCCCTAAGATTAAATCCTAAGCTCTAGAGAGAGGAAAGGTAGGAAGGACCTCAGGTCAACAACCATGACTCTATCTGTGCAAGAATAAATACAACACTTATTCTTTTGAATTTGTCTAATTTAGTTTAGAAGGTGGAGGCTTTACAATTGATGAAGTTTTACCACGAGAATAGTAGAAGAAATTCCCTCATTGGAAGCTTCAACTCTTTCTCTTTCAATTCTAATTATATCCTTTTTCTTTCTTCGATGTATCCTTCATATGTTTGCCAAATAGAGCAGCCACAAGGTAAGATCAATCGAAGCGTCATCCATCCTTCATGGAAAGAATACAACCAAAAAAAGCAGAAATGAAAAGGGAAATTACGTCAATAATAAAGAAAAAAGAGCCCTTATATTCTTATTTATAAAGATAATGAGGTCACAAAATTTAAAAACAAAAATGGGTCAACATTAAAAAAATAGGATAATGTCGTATTATAAAATTTTTACTAGCTTGTAATGATATATTTATTCTTTTGTTATTATCATAGTAAAAAATTAAAAAGATAAGAGACTCGAAAATCTAGACATATTATCTGATTACCTGAATTAAACCCATAGAAGTTCACACCTAAAGTGTGACTCAAACTCGAGTTGAACTAGAAATTTTAAGCTAACTTCTAGACTAAGTGGCGAGCTCAAGTTGAATTAGAACTTTTCGAGCATACTTCAAGACGAAGTGGCGAGCTGGCTCCTCTAAACTTGATAGGTCAATTCAACAAGAATGTTTCGATCATCAAATTAGCTTATTAGTTTGGTCTACTAATTTGACAAGCCAATTTGGTTAGTCAGTGCAGCCAATCAGTTTGGTGAATTGGTTTGGTAAATTAATTTACCAATTCAACCTGACATCATCAAATAAGGTAATGTAGAGCAAATCATCAAACAAATGAGTAACCAGGCAACACATCCAACTACTTCATTTATTTAAGGTTAAATATTTGTTGATTTTTCATGCACTGTGATTTTGTAGCATGTCCTAAGCCAGCCCAAACCTACAAATAGATTGAAAAAATCCCAGTGTAATGGGAGCAAAAGGAAGTAATAATCACTCCCTCTATGATCACACACTCTCTCTCTCTTTCCTTTTGCTTGTCTAAGCGATGGGTTTCCACAAACAATTAGTTATTCAACAATAACTAATCATTATGATTTCACATATTCTTAGATGTATGTGTTACCTTAAAAAATAAATTCATTATAAACCTATCGATTTTGTAAAAATTCTAAGAGAATTTTAATTTTTTCTAGCTTTTCATATTGTCCGCATAAGCGTCAATATTTCATATATAATTTTTTCAAAATAATTTTGAGCATGCACATACATATTTTACTTGAATAAACTTACCATTATGCTAAAGATGACATGAACGAATAGTTTTGGCTGAAATTTATATCAGCTTTAATAGTTAATTCACAGTTCCAGTTAGTAGCGCATTTAATGGAAAACTGTACTCAGACCAGCAGATATTGGTAACCTTATATTTTAAATATACATACAAAATACCTATAATATAAAATAAACTTACATAATATCATTGTCTAACAAATTGGTTAAGTACTTTAATTAAATTGAATTGTTATGTGAATATATGCCAACTTTGTTAACATAAATCTTACAATCATGTATTTTGATTCGGCTTACATTAGATTTGTGCACAGCTATTCCCCAGTAGAATAAATTTAATTAAATCAGTTATCACAGAACCTACTGTAGCATTGACATCAGCCAGCAACATCGTTATTATTTGGAATAATCGCAAGTGGAAAGAATTTAACTTATTACATTAATGACTATATATTTTAAATGAACGTTATAGCCTAAAAGAAAACGGAATTCGAGTGGTACAAAAATATGGTAAAAAAATTACCATACAACGCAATATAAACAAAAACACTTTCTTTTAGGGTTCATTCCTTAATTCTAAACAGCAATAAGCCAACGGCACCATTCTGCCAACAAAACTTTTGCATTATTTACAGAGATTGTAAAAAGAGAGGAAGAGGAACAACAAGAGCAAGTGAAAGCAGATGAGACAAAGAAATGGTAAATGCGCTGACTCCAAATATTAAACAGAAAGATTTCTCTCTAAAATGCAACATCAAAATGTATATAAATCTAAGATGACGATTTCTCAGGATTTTGAGAAAGGTTAATGGACGGACCATCAGTTGCAACTGGGGGTGGAACGTATACCTTAGCACGGCGAACGATCTCCGCCACAATCCAATGCTTGTGCCTGCTAAGAGGCCTTGATGGATCCAATCTAACCTGTAACACAACAATGAAATCAAACATCACATCAAAAAAATAAAAGTAAATGATGTAATTAGTTTATGGCAAACACATGCTAATGCAGGATCAAGAAAGGGATTGTGCCAAGAAATCTTAACCATAGAGTTTTAGGAAAATTATTTTCATAACTTGTACCTGAGATCTTAGAACATAATAGAAACGCTTAACAACCTTCTCAAAAGAAGCAAAGAAATGCCTACAGAAAAAAGGATAAATATAATTCAACATGAAAAAAAGGAAAATTTACGATGCTGGCAAGCTTAATAAGAATGACATGACAAAGAATCAAAACAATGAGATTCAGGTTGCAGTTCGTGCAGTGTTAGCATAAAGTGTAGCGGCGAACCAGAGAAAGGCAATTTGGGAGAAAATGGTGAGAGTAGTTCCAAAGCACAGCATGAGAAACAAAGATATTTTTAGAAATCATTCCTAAGAGTCATCATTTGTAAGAAAATTATTCTTGATGTACTTACAAGCAAGGCAACGACCACAGCTGAAATAAAACCTTGGTGCCTAATGGAGACCAACTTTCAGCTTTGCAGCTGCAACACAAAGAACCCATGGTCATCTAATGATGATAACCAATTAGTTCCTACATAATCTCTTTTATTTTGATCATAAGCTCATTTCATTTGATGCATCTAGGATAAATTTCATAATTTTTTTGACACTTGCAAATATCTACATCTACAAGCCTTTTGAAAGCAATGCACCAGGATTTACCCTACAAATAGGCCCTGAATGGGTTTTAAGCATTAATGATGAGAAGATTTTTAATTCTTGACGTTTTATTGAGTCTAATGCATGGGTTGGACAATCTCTAACCTTTCTTCTCATCAAAGTTAAATAATTCTCTCATATGGCTTTTCCGTCTGCTCATCTCTCAACCATACCAATTCTCTCCAAAGATTATAAAAAAGTTCTATATAACTCTTTTAAAATTAGTCTCTCCATTTGTGCATGCCTTCTCTTAATCACCTTCTCCTTGCTCTCTCCCTATTATATTGCTCCGTTTGTTCAACCATTCTCTCTCTAAATTGCTACCTGACAACTTTTCTCTAGTTAACACCATGAGCTTCAGCTTATATTAAAATAGTTTAATGATGACGAATAAAATTCAGTATGAGCTAATAATATTATTAGAATATTTTGAAGATCGTAAAAATAATTTAGTATGACCTAATAATTTTTAAACAAATTTATGCATGTCTAAGTACTAATATTTCAGGTACAAGGTATTACAAGCGATTCATGCGACAAAAAATACTTAGAAACAGATAAATAACACAAAATAGCACATAGTTCATACAATTCAAGTTATCCAACGGTTCAAATTATCGTATTATTTGAGTAATTAAATTTAGTCAATATAGATTTCAAGATTGACACTTCAATGCCTTGACTTTTGTATTATTATAGTTTTCTAGATGTTTAAGTTTGCCAAGATGAAAAGCATGCAAACAATTGAATTAAGTGTAAAGAAAAAAAGGATAAGACAAACAAATACATAACTCAAAGAAGCTAAAAGTTCATAAAATTCAAGTTAGCCAATGGTTCAAGCTATCCTATTATTCGAGTAATTCAAGTTAATCCATGAAGATTTCAAGGCTGACAAATCAAGTTCCTGAGTATCATTTTTTTTAGAGTCCTGCATTATTATTATTCTTAGATGTTAAGTTGCCTAAGATGGCAAGCAGACAATAAAAAAAACAACAACAAGCCTTTATCCCACTAAGTGGGGTCGGCTAAATGATTCTTGTTTCTCCATTGCGTCGCATTGAGTGTCATATTTTCATTTTCTAATAAATTAAGATCATTTTTTTACCCAACTCCATAAAATTTATCCATGAGATTTTTCTCTCAAAACTTTGATCCACATAATAGAGTTGTGGAAGTCATTCCACTAACAAACGCCCAATCCAAGGCTAATTCTCCCAGATTGATTAATTCTCAATCCTACAGCATTTTGTAATGACATGGAATGTCAATCACATTTAAGAATGAGTCAATTATAGGGGAAATATTATCACAAGAAATGCAAGTTATAAGTCGCAAAGAGGTGTCATCAATTTTGGCACCAATTTCATGGACCATTCAAGCTAGCACTGTAACTGTAACTATTCAACCACAATCTTTTTAGTTAACAAGTTACTAGAATCTCAATTTAGTTTTAAAATATATTTCTTGAGTTCCTCTCAACATTGTCAATCCTTTTCCGCTTCAGATTGTTTTGGCAGCACACGTATCCTCTCAAGATACCTCTCTATAATATCATAGGCCTCCCGAAATTTCCCTCTACAACTTTCAAATCATCTTGGCATGTTCTCCACGTGTCTTTTAAAAAAGTCAACTGTTTCTTTCTAAGAAGTGATCTGCTCAAATAATTCAGCTCTGAAAAAGAGGGAACAAGTAGGTTTCATTCATCCGAGTAGACCAAATTGCTTTAGAGATCACCTGCCTTTCATTTCTGTCAGATCAAAGAAATTTAGTATCGCAGTGGGACATCATAGTTCTATTTGCTAATAATTTGCCTTCATTTAGTTGATCGTCTCTGCCTAGTTTAGTAGGTCTTTAAGAAGAGGTTGGACTGCTCAATTTCATCATCCAACAACAAAGGCTCAAATAGTTTCAAATTCTCGATATTAACCATAGAGTAAATATTCATATAGACTAGAGAAGCCAATTTGCAAGTGTTATCATCAATCATCATTAGAACTTCAAAATGCCATATACATAATTAGTTTGATCTTCGAACCATGTTCCTTCAATCTCTCCTTGTGGATGTAGAGCCATATGACATCTCTTCTAATTTCTTCCTTACTCGGTGTTATCAAACTAAAACTTATAAATCTTTGGCAAGTTATTTCTATGATTCTGAGTGAATTATTGGGTTCCAGCTAAAAATATTTATGTTTTGAATTATATACATTAGGTTCATATTTGTTCTTGAAGGAGATGCTATATATTAGGAATGGTTTTGTTGAAGACAAACTAATGTACGACAAACTTTCAACAAGTCTTTATGTGTCACGAGTTCAATCCTCTTGAAAGATGTACAGTAGCCATTTTAATATCCTTAGTATGGTCAGCAATTTGAGACTAGCAGATATGCTTCCTCTTTAGAGCAGCATTCATTATAGCCCAAAATGATTTTGAAAAGGCTCCTGAGGAAAAGATTCGAGATAGTTTATATAAATCAGCATATCCCTTGTGTTAAAAAAAATGAAATTGCATTTTTACCTACAAAATCATTTGTGGTCGATGAGCATTCCATCCATCTTATTTACCATCATCTTCATGTACCTAATGAACAAGTTGAACTATTGTAGGTACAATATCTACTTTATATGCCATGCTTACTTAAGCATTGACAATGTCCAATAGTATTAAATTAATTTATGTTCTATATGAAAATATAAAATTCATAAAAATTCTTAATCATATGCTAGATACTTCTTCTAAACACTTTATAACAACTCAAAGTAATATGCCACAAATCTCTCTTCAAGCATTAGAACCACTAAATGCATATTCGAAAGCATCAAACTTGACTTCAAATACAACAACAACAACAACAACAACAACAAAGCCTTAATCCCACTATGTGGGGTTGGCTACATGAATCCTTTTTCTCCATTGCGTCCTATTTAGTGTCATATTTTCATTTAGTTCTAGTAAATTAAGATCATTTTTTATACAATAAGCTCAAGTCTTCCTAGGTTGACCTCTGCCTTTCTTAACACAAGTCAAATCTAAAACATCTACTCTCCTAGTCGGATCATCAGATGGTCGACATTTAATGTGACCAAACCATCTAAGACGACTTTCTCTAATTTTGTCCGTCACAGCAGCTACACCAACCCTATCACAGATATATTCATTTCACATTTTGTCTCTAAGTGTAAAGCCACTCATCCACCTAATCATTCTAATCTCGACAACACTTAACTTATTATTATGCTTCTCTTTTAAAGGCCAAAATTCAGCGCCATAGAGCATTGCAGGTCTCACCAACGTCTTATAAAATTTTCCTTTCGGTCTAAGCGGTACTTTTCTTTCACACAAAAGGCCCTAAGCATTCCTCAACTTCAACCAACCAACTTGAATTCTACTATTAACATCCCCATCTATATCACCATTGCTTTGAACAACGGACCCAAGATATCTAAATCGTTCACACCTTTTAATAATTTGATCATCCAAAGTCACACTTCTGTCACTAGAGCTACTACTACTAAAATTACATTCCATGTATTCAGTTTTAGTTCTAGTTAAATGAAGGCATTTAGAATCCAATGTAGACCTCCATAATTCAAGTTTCAAATAGTTTATAAAAAATTGATAAGGTTAATAATAGCATCTAGCTTATTTTTCTTTCAAGAAGAAAAGCTATGCCCTTGTGTTTCCTCTCCTAAATGAATTTCTAATTAATCTTTGTCAACAAAAGTAATGGTGCAATGAAACAATACGTTATGCAAGAATCTTCTCACAGAATAAAATGCTCTAATGTATCTTTACACATTGATTAAGTTCTATGACCAAGGATAATCACGTAACATTTTGATCTTCTCAGGGTCAATCCTAATCTTCTCTCCACCTACATCGAACAAAAATAGAGTAAAGTCTTCCTCCAAAAACTTCATTTATTCATATCCAGAATAAGTTGGTTCCTCTTCAAGAGTTCTAACACTTTTGCGCATATCCAATATGTTCCTCCCATTTTTGGTTGTAGATGAGAAAATCGTCAAGATAGAGATAACAAATCCTATAAATGATCTCAAAATTTCAATCATGAAACACATAAATATTGACAGAGCATTGCAAAGATCAAATTTCATCCCCATTTACTCAGATAACTTTGCCTTGTTTTAAATATAGTTTTTTGCATATCTTATTCATGTACTAGAACGTAATGATAACTTGATTTTAGAATTAACTTTGCGAAGATTGTAGTATTCTCCAATTGGTCCAACAAGTCATCCACTTTGAAAAGGGGACATTGTTACTTCATAGAGATTTTATTAAGTATTTAGCAGCATACAAACATCTAACCATCATCTTTCTTTAACACCATCATAATCTACATAATCCAGATGGTGAGCTTTTTGGCTTATTAACGCCCTGATAGCTTTCTGAGAGGAGGTTGATCTCATGCTCCACAACTCGTCAATCCTCACAGCCCTAAAGAAAGTTCAAGGTATCCTACTATGTGATGCAATCCCAGCCTTTAATCCCCTGAGGACTAAGATCAGCAATTTCCCTTTCTTCTTCTCTCAAATCTTCATGAATTCTTCTCTAAAAAAGGAAAATATAATTTCATTAGCCTTCTCATGTGAATAAAAGTAAAATTAGCTATCAGAAAATGTATATCATTTTCTTCACTAATGTAGCTGCCACCATAACCAAGGATTTTGCTCATGTTCACATTGCAACTCACAACAATCTTAGAGAGATGGTATTATTGTGCCAACTAGTAGAATACAATGTCATAGTCCCAATATATGGGCTTTCAAAGACGATCTAGCAAATGTTGAGAAGAACAACTGCACACATCATATAATCAATGTACTTCAAAATTATGAAGTTAGCATGACACATTTCATCAATCAGCATCCCTTTCCATTAGAATCCATCAACGTGGGAAAGGAGGTGGTGAGTAATCATCTTAAGGCCCATCATTTTGATTAGACTTGTTGAGTCAAGTTATTTTAGCTCCTTCAAGTTATTTTAGCTCCTTGAGTCAAAATTGGCATAAATCAATTATTGTGTCACTTGGATCTACAAAATGAACTACCCATACTCATTAGGGTTATGTGTCGTACATGACTCTTTCCCCTTTAGCACAGCCATATAGAAAAGCTCGAGTCAAGCTAATTTGCTAAATCAAATGTTTAATCCTAATCCATTATACTGGCTACCGTCTTCACCTTGACATCTTTTGTGAACTTATCCACAAAGACACTAAAATGAAGTTTCCAGCACTTCCCTCTATCATTTCCCAAAATCAAACAATAATCACAATAAAGGGTATCTCCAAAAGAAAAGTTTGGTTTGGGATGACCCAGGTAAGTTGAAGTTTGAACTGGGTTGACACGGATTGGCAGGTTGATTTAAGTTGACCTGTATTGATTTAGGTTGACCCGTGTAGATTAGGATTTGATTTGAGTTGTCCCGGGTTGACTTGGGTTGACCCGGGCAGGTTAGGGTTTGATTTGGTTAGCCCGGGTAGGTTAGGGTTTGATTTGGGTTGACCCCGATATACTTGAGTTAACCCAAGTAGGTTTGGGTTAAGTTAGACTAGACCTGAGCCTAAGTCAGGTTTAAGTTGGGTTGGGTTTGGGTTAAGTTAAGCTAGACCTTAGCTAGGTCGGGTCTAAGTTGGATCTGGTCTAGGTTGGATCAAACTTGGATTAGATTTGGGTTGGTTAGGCTGAGTCAGGTCTCGGTTGGGTAAGACCTAGGTTAGCTTTAGGGATTAGGTTAAGTTAAGTCAGGTATGGGTTGGGTCAGACATGGGTTAAATTTAGGGTTTAAGTTAGATTGGGTCAGGTCTGGGTTGGGTTTAGGGTTTAGGTTAAGTTGAGTTAAGTCTGGATTGTGTCAAACTTGGGTTAGTTTTGGGTTAAGTTTAGTGTCTGGGCTAAACCATTTTAGGGATTAGGATTATATTCGTGTTCGAGTCAACCTGAGTCGAACCCAAACCCAAGCCTAACCAAGACTATTGAGTTTACCTAACCTATTCTTAAACTTAAAACACTTAAACTTAAAACTTAACTTAATAATATTGAAATAGAGTTAAAAAACTTAGAAAGGAGGAGGCTGATCGGAGGAGGAGATGGTTCGCCGGAGAGAACAAGAGGAAGACACTTTGACAATGCACCTTGCACTACTTTCTGCCCTCTGCACTGCACTGTCGATTGCACTCTACTGTCCCTTTTGGATGAGGCACAAACAACTGTCGTTTATAGGCTGAGATAGCTATCCTGAGCCGTAGATCAAATGGGAAATGGAGGGTCAAGATTACTCTGGCAGTTTCCTCAACCGTGGACGGTTGTCGGCTATTATAAGCCATTCAATTGAATGATGGTCGTGAGGTTGATCCATGGATGGAGGTCACATATCAGTGACAGGGCAGAGAGATAAATGAAAGAAGTGAGGTAATGTGACCATGCCCGGGCTAGGGCGCCATGCCGAGATAAAAGATAGGTGACTTTTTCTTAAAGTTCAAAGGCACTGGAACTTTTTTGAAAGCTCTATATGACTCTGGAAGTTGCATACGACCAAATGAGTTCAACAAAGAGCATTTAAACAAATACTATATAGTTCTTATTTATTTGCATATCTAACACCTCTACTTTCATATTTACAGACATAACGCTCTAATTTTTAATATCGCATATAAAATACTACAAGCACTAACTTTGTTTAAAAGTGAAGTACACCTTTTAATGCATAGATTCAAGACAACAAAGTGTAGAAATGTAAGTAGCAAACCTTAGGGGTTAAATATGTAAATACAAAGGAATTGTGCGGTATGTTTAAATTTTCCAAAACAAAAACAACCGAGTTCCAAGTGGGGAAAAATTATTGCATGTGGTGTTCGATCCTGACCATAGATCACGGTGATCTACGGTTATGATATATTTCGGTGAGTCTCACTTAAATTTTTTTTAAAAAAAAAACCTAAATAGATGATGCTCGTACATCACGGTGATCTACGGTAAGGATCGGACACCGCATGCATGTGGTGTCCGTATGCAATAATTTTTCCCAAGTGGGATACATAATCATTATCAGTCGGCATTTAGAAGAAATTCCTTATTGTAGAAATAGCGAAGATGACTTACCGTAGTGCATAGGTTGAATTGCAAAACAAAACCAGACATTAGAAACGAGTAACCTCAAATAAATCAGGAAAGCAACAAAGGCAAATCATTAACTATTATAAAACCAAGAAAAAAAGACTAATAGCCGCAAAAAACTATCTGTATGTTTTCAATTGCGACTAATTACCCGGTCGCCGATGCTGCATTCGTTGTGCTCGTCGTGCGCCATAAACTTGCTGGTCCGCTTGACGTAGCGGTTGTAGAGCTTGTGGCGAAAGAGCCGATCCACAGCAACCACCACGGATTTCTGCATCTTGTTTGAAACCACCATTCCAACCACCGATTTCATCTTCTCTGTTTGTTCAAAAGGAACAGGTAAATAACAATCGAAACAGAGATACTTATACAGCGGGGGTAAGAGACTTTCGCCACAGTTGAATACGGCAACAGCTGACGATAAGTGCGGGCGTAGCGAAGAACAAAAAATCGGGAAGATATGTGGATGCCTGCAGTGTGGCAGCGTGGCAGGGGGGAACAACCGGAAACCCTATTCGCGGGTGTTTGATGGCTCCCTCCTAATATGCCCGGATTTATTGAATCCACACAGATACAAAAAATAAATACAGTTTAATAAATTTAGGAAATTTTAAATTTAGGACCCATATTTTAACTTCAATTCATATTAAATCTGAATTTAATAAATCTAACAAAAAGATGAATTTATTAAATCCGAATTTACTAAACCCTTCAAGCATTGAAAAAAGAAATACAAACAGTTTTGAATATAATCGTTTTGAATGGAATTATAGAGGTTGAAGATATGACGAACAATTAATTTTGAATGCTTCATCTTTACCTCTTTACAACCTCTGAACGGTTATGACAAACGGTTATGAATTTATTCAAAGATATTTACAATTTTGAATGCAATTATAGAGGTTGAAGATATGACAAACAGTTTTGAATATAATCATTTCTTGGGATCATTCATAACTATGATTATAGAGGTCTCATGGGCTACTAATTAATACAAAATCAAGCATTTCAAAATCAAAATTTGAAGAACAGAATGATCCCAAGAAATGATTATATTCAAAACTGCCCAAACACACATGAGTGGGATGATTGTGTTAATTTTGATGGGTCACTTAACGACACGATATCATGTGAAGAAAGTCTTATCCCAGTTGATTTGATGGAGGATATTTTTGGATATTTTTATTATCGGCTGCACTACAAATTGCTCAATGGGGATGTTCCATAAGAAATATTGTAGAGTACAAGACATTTTCTTCTAGAAAAAAGTTGATATTGTTGCACCCTTTTTGTTGCGCTTTCCTCAATGCTTGCCTCTTCTACATTCCACTTCTCAACATCCTTTATTCCAAATGAGTAGAGCAAGAAAAGGAAAGAATTAAAATAGGAGAATAGTAAAAAAAAAAAAGGGGATGGATATAAAGACAACTTAAAAAGTGGTTCTCATAGCTTAAATTGGAGAGGAAAAGCCCAAAATAAAATGAATCATGCTCAACTCAAAAGAATATATGAGAAAAGACTTACAATTGCCTTTATATTAAAAACTAGAGTAAAAGTGAAATTATTTTTATTATGGATTTAATGAGACCACCCACAACAATATAATATCATGATCAATTGCATACTAGGGATACACTGGAAGACTATAGATAAAAATTTAGCGCTTGTTTTTTTATAAGAACTCTCATAATAGGTCATCAAAGTGGGTTTCTCCACTACAATAGGGGAAACCTCCTACTATCAAGGCTAAACTAGACTATCAAGTAGAGAGTCAATCAATGTAACATATAGGTAGCCATCTCTTAGTAAATATGGGCCAATATAGTGACTATGAAAAGATTCAATAATGAGTATGAAAGGCGTAAAGGTGGTGTTAATATGTAGGTAAGGAATTTCTAAGCATGTAGGGATATCATAGTTAGAACTTTGTGGAAACATTATCCTAAGCTATTAAAATCCCAAGTTTATTGCGTCATGGAGGTTATCAACCCAACATGATAATGAAATACTTATTAGCAACCCAAGTATTGTGCCCTCCAAAGTCGCTGGGTAGATATAAAGTCACATGAAAAAAAAAGTCTAGAATTCTATTACTCTCCTTGGACAGAAAAAGAGATCATAGAATTTTTTACTGACTGGGGGACACCATAGACCTTGAAAAACTTCTATCTAAATGCTCTGATGTGACATTCTAAGAATAGAATACTATCTGTAAAGATAGAAATATTATCTTAGAATGGATTTAATCATTCAGATGAGGAAAATCTTTGAGCTTTATGGATCTACGAAATCAAAATTCTTCTCTTACCAAATAGGGTGTAAGATAAAGTTTATTTTAAAATGAAGACTCCCTCATAGTAATTTCAACTTAAGAAATGCTTGTGAGAAAACTCTCAGTTAAGCTGTCTTATATCATTCATATTCATTAATGAATGTTTATGGATTAATAATTTGAAAACTGTTATTAAGTGGATAAGATTAGATAGGTTTACTTCACATAAATTTCAACATGGTTTACCCTTAGGTTTGAGTCCAATAGTTGATAGTTGAAGTGATGATATAGAGCTTGAATCAATTGATCAAGTTTAAGAAACAATATGAATTTGGATTTTAATTAGACTGGATTTGGTATTTGTTTTGAGTCAAATTAGAATTGGATTGAATTGGGCTTGAATTAGATTATGTTGAAATTAGATTAGATTTGGAATTGAATTAAGGTTGGGTTTGGATTTGAAATTAGCTTGGATTTAGATTATATCAAGATTTAGTTTGCATTGAGTTTGGATAGAGATAGGTTTAAAAGGATTATATTGGATTGAAAATTGGATTGATTAAGTTGATATGATTTAAAGAGAATCCTAGTTGAAGGAGTAGAGAGAGGGACAATATTTCTAAATGAAGGTGATCCCCTAATCTAAATACCTCTAAACAAGAAACTATAAGGGACCTAATCTGAATTTGGGAATAATGCCCCTGGTCAAGATGCTCATGACTTTCTATCATCTTGAGATATTGGTAGCATCAAACTGTTAACCAATAAACTAACAGGAGTTCTCCCTTATCATCATAGCAATAAATTAAGGTAGTCATTCTAGTTATAAAGTGCTTGTGAGTATGTTCATCCATAGCGTGGGCTATTTCATTTTAGGTACTCATTATCTTCGGGGGTAGGTCAATTTATTTTATAAGCCCTATTCTTTATTTCGAATTTAATGGAGCAACTTAGAACTAACCTAGGGCTCTAGACTAGACTAATCTAGGGTATGTGTATGGACCAAGTTTTTCTTATATGTTTGCTATCCTAGGAGCAAGTTAGGAACTATAATAAGGTGTGTTTATAAAAAATAGAGTTTGTCAATTTTAATTATTTTTAAGGTTTGATAATTAATAATGACTTATTTTCTCCTAGAAATTGTAATTCCTGCCGAAAAATCAATATTTTAAAGGAAATCTTAGGTTATTTTTCCCTTCTAGATGAATTTATGGTCAAATTGTCAATCAAGCATTATTTTTTCAACCTACATTTTTGTTTTCTTCCTAAGATTTTATTCTCCTTCCTAGGTTTTAATTGTGGTCGAGAGATATATTCCAAACAAATGAAGTTAAGTTTCTTAATTTAAACTCTCATAATAAAGATTTACTTGTATTCCCATCAAAGTAATAAAAGTATTATTTTCATACAAAAATACTTCTATCATTCAAAAATATTTGGGAATATAAGTTTATCTTTATTAAGGGTTATTTAAATTAGGATAACCCAAAACTTATGTAATCATATGTCTGATGCTACGAAATCATATGTTTCCAGGGGAGACACATTCAATCATCTAGTCACTCAATGTAAGTGAATATATAAGTCTTGCATAGGCTAAGCAAGTGAAAGGAGCCTGACAAGCTTTTAGATTCTTAAAGCTTAAGGGTTTTAAGAAAAAGTAGTTTGACTTTTAAAGAAGATATATGTTTTGAAAGTATTTTAAGGATTTAATTAATCTCGACTAATCTTTACTCTTTTATAAAGACAAGATTTTTTTTCAAAAAAGGATTCCTAAATAGAATAAAACTCTTTAAAAAAAATATTTAAAATAGATTTTCTTTTTTGAAATAAAATTTTTTTATTTTTTTTAAGAATAAACTTCCCAAGAGATTAAGTTCTTATGAGAACTCTTTCCAAAGAGAGTCCTAAAGATTTGAAAATATTTTTTTTTTATTTTGAAAAGAAAATTCTTAAGGAAAAATGTTCTTGAAGAAGATTGAAACCCATCTCCTTAAGTTTTTAGAAATTTGAAAAGATTATAAATTTAAATCTTATTTATAGTTTGATTTATAATTTAAAAGAGGTTTTCATTTTCGAGTCCTTTAGTTAATGTAGAAAAACATTTTTGGTGAGTTTTTTTTAATTTGAAAAGGCTTTTAAATATTAGAGCACTTTTAACTACAGTAGAAAATCTTTTCATGAGTTCTTAAACTCTTGATGGCTTTTTAATTAAAGTAAAAGAAATTTTTTAATGAAAATATTTCTTTTGGAACACCTTTTATTTACATTATATAAAAATAATTAATCTCTAAAAAATTTAAAGGTATGTACCATACTTCCTTTAATTTCATTAAGCACAGAGGAATTTCATTTTTTTTTTCTCCTATATCTCTCATCTATCAATTTGAACCTTTCTTTTTATCCAATCTATTCCCAAAAAAGTGGTAAATAAACATGAAGTCAATCTCACATGCATGGAAAACAATTAAACACACATTCACATGAAAATCGTGCAATTTATCAAAATCACAGAGATTCTACTAGTTTCATGTGTTTACATATACAAATACATTCACATTAATTTAAAGAGAATAAACCTACTTAAGAGAACCTAAGCATGAGGTTTTTATATGAATGATTCATAGGGCTTTTCTTAAGTCACTTAGATGCATAACTTATACATATTTAAAATATATGTGCTGATATATTATTGGAATCAATTTTTGATGTCGCATAAACAGGATGTCTGTTGAAGGATATGAAACAATGTTTATCTTCTTGTCTTCCAAGTCATCTTATCATAGCTCTTGGTATGTGCCCTGAGCACGAAATCAGGATCGATATTGACTTAACTTGACATGGGAAAATTCACCATGAGGTGGTGTTGGGCTTATATCTAGTCGTATTTTGCATTTGCTCTGATGTTGAGAGAACCAATCCCATCATTCCGACGTCTTCTGACTTCAAGGATAGATGCCAGGATCTCCCACTAACATTTTGGACAAAGTTTGATCAGGACAAATTTTACCTCCAGACGGGGTCTGAGAAGCCCTTCGGCACCAAAACCCTTGTTTGGAACCCCTAGAATGTTCATTTTTTAGTTACAGGGTCTTATTCTATTGATACAAAATTTTTTGTGGGTTCTGGATTAACGAGGTCATCTGAGCAAAAATTAGCGCAGTCCAAGAATATCGTCGGTGATGATTTCCCTGATAAACGACTAATCAAAATACTCATTTTTGAAGTTAAAGGACCATATTTTAGCCATACATGATTCCTTGTAGCTTGCAGATCGAAC